TTATTAAACAAATTTCTACTTTATTAGAGATATTAAACCAAATGACCTCTGAATCTATAAAGTTATTGATCAACTCTACATTGTTCAAACATTTTTTTCATAAAACGAACAGTCTCTTTATTTCTGATTTATTTAGCATCAATTATAAGATTTACAAATATTTTTATGAACCCTGAGCTGTTACTTCAACATACCACATGCTATAATATCTTTGGTAAAATGTCTATAAATATATTTTTTTTCTGAATGTTTTGCTTTTGCAGAGTCTGTAAAAGTAGTTCCATACAAAACAATATCTATATCAAAAACTTGCTTATTTTTTCATTGTGATAAGTACAATGCACTGGATTTTGTGCAATTATGCTTATTCCAAATTTTCAAGTCTTTTCAAGTCTTGTTGAAGTGTCAGCCAGAGTCCTGAATGCCTGTCCAGAGCAGCTCTGTGGGATTCTGCAGCACCTCTTCAACCTTAGCCTGACCCAGGAGACAGTTCCAGTGATGTGGAAGACCTCCTGCCTTGTTCCAGTGCCAAATAAAACTCAGCCAACAGTGCTCGATAACTATAGACATGTTGCTCTGACATTCCACCTCACAAAGGTCCTAGAGAGACTCCTGTTTTTTCACATGAGCGAGCAAACATGCAGGTGTCAGTATCCCCTGCAGTTTGCTTATCGCTGTGAAGTTAAAGGTGCTATCATAAACCTGCTTCAACAAACCTACTGTCATTTAAACAGCGCTGTGAGGATCATGTTTTTTATTTATCCAGCTTGATTAAGAGGATACAGCCTGACTTACTTTGTGAGAAACTTCAGAAGACTCAGGTAGCAATCGCCTGGATCTACCTGATAAACAGGCCACAGTTTGTTAGACTGAAGGGCCAGTTGTCTAATCAAGTAGTCAGCAGCACAGGTAGCCTCGTGAGACCATCCTGATCTCGCGAGCTTTCAAGGTTTCACTCGCTAATCAGTCTGGAGACTCTCCGTTAAAGAAAATTTGGAGCCGTTCACCAAACGAACGCCCAATCAGCGTTGGCTTTGAAGCGGGTTGAGGTGTGACGCAACGAGAAGCGCGACAGTTCAGTCTAAAGAACATGGCGGCTTCAGCCGATGAAACTAGCGTTAGCGTGGCTATCAAGCAAGTTTTATCGGAATTACAGAGTATTTTTTTCACTGAAAGAAGAGCAAAACACTGCTCTGGAGGCTTTTCTCAGAGGAAAAGATGTTTTTGCTCTTCTCCCGACTGGTTTCGGCAACAGTAGCCTGGCTTGTGGTTGTGTTTTCGTCGTCGCTCTGTTAGTAATGTCATATGCTTCGTTGATCTGATTGGTTTATTTGGCCCGTCTATCACCAACATAGGCCAATCAGCTAACCAGTATTTTCACCCCTTCCCAAAATTACTTCAACGGAAGGTTTCCAGATGGATATGCGGAGCAAATCCATCTGACGGAGTCAGGTTACAGCACAGGTGCACCATACATAACAATTCGGTACATAACAATCCATTGTCCAGGCTTTTATTTTTTTGTAAACCTTTGGAGTTTATTTGTTTTTCATATGCAGACAGCTTTGCAGAAACGATAACTATGGAAGCAAATCGTTACCATATTTCATATGAAAAAGCATTTTCAAAAATGCTTTTTTGCATTTTAAGAATGTGGCTGCATTGTTTGACTCATAAATGAAATTAGTTTGTATTTTAATTTTCTTCTTCAAGACTGCTCATCCTTTTACTTAATTAAAATGAAAAAGACATTTGAGATTTATTTTTCAAAATGTACCCCAGCAAATACATACCAAAATTCAATTTGAAATGTAAATTGTGCAGTCTTAAGGAAGAAAATGCAAATGCAAATAGGATGATTGATTACTAATTTCAGTTATGAGTCAAGCAATGCAGCCAAAGGGTTAGGTCAAATGTTACATTTCACATTGAATTTTGGTATGTATTTGCTGGGGTACAGTTTGAGAAATAAATCTCAAATGTCCTTTTCTTTTTCATTTGAATGAAGTAAAAGGATGAGCAGTCTTGAAGAAGAAAATTATAATGCAAACAGGATTATTGATTACTAATTTCATTTATGAGTCAAACAATGCAGCCATATTCTTAAAATGAAAAAGCATTTTTGAAAATGCTTTTTCATTTGAAATATGGTAACGATTTGCTTCCATTGATAACAGCTTGCAAGCAGTGTCTATTTCCCCCCCAAAAACCTTTTCTGACTAGTTGATGCTCCAGGGTCCAGCGGCAAAAGTTCTGATTTCCAGCATCGAACTCTCAGATGCTTATATTGAAAATACTTAATGAATTACTTCTTATTTCTTCCCTTAAAAACCTGAACGATCAGTGGGGCCGGCAGCACATTGGTGTACGATATATTTCAAGTCTTTGTCCTGCATTTGGTGAATTTGGGAAATTTGTCAACAATGGTTTTAGTTGGTGACATTCACACTGGACTTGATATTAATCTGCTGACTGCCTCTCTAATTTTTGGCATTTTTGTTAAAGGAATAAGAAAAAAACTATTAAAACATATTTTAAATATAAGATCAAATACTTTCTTTTTATCCTTTTTCCTGATCCCTTCCTAGAGTGAGACTGTTAAACATTGCTTAGGCGTCATTGCATGGATCCATCCTTCAAGTTCTTCCAGGTTCTTTTACACCTCTGTTTCCATAGTAACAGTTCCAAACTGCAGTGTTCAGAAATGCAATGAGATAAACTCCATGTTGGTGGTTCTTGTTCCACTCAGCCATCAGCTCCAATCAGCTCCAGCTGCTCATCATATAAGCCTTCAGGTTGGAATCATTATCAGAGGGATCAGGTCTATCCTGCACCGGTACCATGAGGTGAGGTTCAGTTTAAAATGTTTAATTGCAGCTTGATGCTGCTGGTGGAACCTTCTGGTTTGAATGTTGTGAAACACAATGTGTCTGCAGGATATTGTGGATTTCTTTCCTGCTAATTGGAAGCATAACATGTGCTCCTCAAAATCCAGGTGAGTTTTAATCAAACATGTCTAAAAGTAGCTGTAACTTGTATTGTAATTGTAAACTGCTTCCTCAGGGAGTGGAGATGAACAACAGCAGACATTGTGGCGATATATAGCTTCATCCAAACCAGTTAACATGTACCCCAGTGGACAGGCGGATGGTTTTGGTGGCTCCAGTTCTCCAGGATTTTACTACAGCAGTGGCCCCAGTAGTTTTGGAGGTGCAGACAGAGGTTCTACTTACTGGGCCCAACAACGTGGCTATCAGGATGGCCAGCCTGGAGCTCCAGGTGGCAGTGGCTTTCAGGTTGCAGAGGATCGCTGGAACCCCTCATTTCATCCTGGTGAGGATGAGCCAGACTTCACTTCTGTAAATGACAAGGATGTGGTGCACACCAAGGACTCCAGGTCACGGTACAACCGCTTTCAGTATAGCAACACTAGGTTCGACTACACCCCAACAGGATCGGGGACGTTCCATACATCAATGTTTCCCTTTCCTGGAGGAAAAACTCTTCCAGGCCAAGACTATGTGAAAAATGTCTATTGAAGATCTTTTGGTGAAGTTGGCTTCAGATTCTGCTAAAGATCTGATTCAGATTTTTTTTTTATTTTTAGATTCAAGAGCTGCTGCCTGTCAGATTGGTAAATAACTAAATGTGCCACAAAATGTTCTGCAGGGTAACTTTATAAATCAAAGCAAGACTCCACCTGTTGTAGCCAATTAACCCAAACTCTCAAGTTAAACCTTTTACATGTTCCCCCTCAATGGTAAAATCACTCGCTACAGGATTTCTGTTATGTAGATGATGCAAAGCTTTACAATAAAACTGACCCAAAGCCACCTTTGCCTTGATCTGTCTCTATTCTCACAGTTTGTCTTAAGGTTAAAGCTTGGATGAACTAAAAGGTCCTTCAAACGCCTACAGTAGCAGCCATTCAAAATGGCCCTTCCCAGTCAAAAGCCAGCCGAATGGCAGGAAAATCCCCTCCAACTTCCAGCCACTGGCCTCCTCATTGGGGTGCATATTTTTTTTTTTTTTACCCTGACTCCAGCCTTTCACTGAATTACAGGTTCTGACCAGGAGATGGCGCTTCTCTTTAGATCTTAATCTCCACAAATAATGACAGAATATTTTAGATGTTTAAAAAAGAATTTTGGGGACCCGCCAAGGGCCACTCAAGGAAAGTGGGGACATTTTGAATGGCTACTACAAACTACAGAGATATTGGGTTTTCTCTGGTGGCGGGAGCTATACGTGCTGCTTGTTCTAGTATTCTATTCCTCTCAATTTGAGGTGCTTGGAAACCACTTTGATCAACCAGCTGATCAACAGCCAATGCTTTTCAACCCCACTGGCCTACCTCTGTAAATTATTCTGATGGCAGTTACACTCTGAATTAATTGTCCCCCCCACCCCCAAAAAATATCATCCTGATGGCGCCGCAGACGGCAGCCACGGTGTGCTGGTGCGCACTTTTTAGTTTCTTTTTACTACTTAACTCGGGTTTTTGCGATGCTACCCCGAGCTCTTTCACCAGAGAAGAGCTCATGAACATCAGGGCAACATCACCAGAGGATTTATTGTATTCTATCTTATTTTGTTTTTTTGTCTGCACCAACAACACCAAGTCAAATTCCTTGCAAGTGCAAACCTACTTGGCAATAAACTTGATTCTGATTCTGAAAAGCTAACAATATCCAGAGCCTTTGCTTGATGCTATAAATTTTTATTAAATTCTCTACATCTGGAAGTCAAAAATATCTCAATCATTTGGAGGAAAAAAAAAAGTTAACCACGGCAGATGGATGGTGTTTGTCCAGACAAAATTTTTATCTATGAAGGCATTCACTTCAGGTTTAATTTTATTTATATTTTTTTTTATCAAAACTGTAAAATAAATGGTGCCTGCAAATAATTGAAAGGGATGAAAGTATTAAATTCATACAATTTTTAGAAAATGTCCGACCTCTACATAAATAAACTGAACTTCTAAAGGAAACATTGGTTTGTGTTTTTCCTGGTTTACATTTCAGAAATGGTTCCAGTAATGTGACCTAATATCACAAGGGCAAGATCCATGATGCTTCTTCTGGAGATTCCTGTGAGGTGGCTCAGTTCACCGACTACCTGTGTCACATTTGGAAAAAAGGCAATTACTCACGTTTGGTCTTGTTTAAAGGACACACATATCTGAGAGTTGTATAAGTATATTTATAGAAAGTACTCCTTTCACCTGTTGCATTTTTCTAATACAGGAGACGTATGTTGCTGCCGCAATGACGCCGGCTCCAAGAAGCATTCGGTCTTCAGTCACTTTTACAAACTTCTCCCTGGTAAAATGGAAAATTTTAATTAAGGTGCAATAGTTATGCAGAGCTGCAAGTTCAACTAAGATAATTAATCTGATAGTAAATAGTTTTTCAACGTCACTATGGCTGCATGGTTCAACATCTTAATCATACGGGCTGTACTACTGCTGCTTTCCCTTTAAACTAACAGGAGTAATGTGACCAACTGTCCCTTTAAAAAAAATAAAATAAAAGCTACTGTCCCATCTAAAGAAACTAAATTAGGTGTCTAATTTAGTTCGGCTTTGATTTAAATCTTATTAATTTACACATTAGAACAGAAATTATCAGTAGGGTGGATGACTGCCTGCCAAGAAGTGTCCTTTATTCTCAAAGAATTCGACCTGAACAGGAGATGTAGCTCTGATGCTACATCTAAGCCTTCCACTGATGGCTAGCAGAGCACTTGGTTACCACGGAGACTGAATACAAGCCATTAAAGAGAAACTGCTGACCAAGTAGGGCACAAGGAATTATGAATCTCAAGATGCCAAACAATTTGAATTGGTCTAATACGGTAGAGGACGAACATAAACACGTTCCTAAGACTATTTTAATGTATTAAAAGTACACTGCAAAAACAATCTAGAAATAAGAAAAAATTCCTTAAATCAAGTGTATTTTACCTTAATTTTATTAGGTAAATGGGATGATTTGCCAATGAAATGAGTATTTTTACTCTTAAAATAAGATTAGATAAAAATGCACTTGTAATAAGACAATGCAGTTGCTTTTTCTTATTTTAAATGTAAATTGTCTTGTTCCATTGGCAAAGTGTCTCAATTACCTCCTCAATTCAAGAACAAATGCACTTGGTTTAGGAAAAAAATACTTATTTAGATTTAAATTTTTTGCAGTGTATTTCCCAAGTTCTGGTCATAATAACCCCTCCTCCTGCTTTCCAAACGTCTTACTTTCATACACTATAAGATTCCAGCAATAAAGTCGCCACATGTCGTTGAATGTTGAAAGCGTAAACACCATATCACCAAAGCAAACACATCATGCATTTCCCATGGTATCTAAATCAGTTGGCTACACAAAGTTAAAACATTCAATTCAGGGTTTTCTGCCATAACTTTGAAAATAGCTGGAGTCAGAGAAAACTCTCCAAGTCAGACAGTATTATTATTTATAATTGTCTTCCACATGTAATACCTCTGTTCCCTGGATGGGCTGCTACACTGAGTGGTGAATCTCAACAAGGATTCAAAGATGGCAGCCTTGTCCAGGGTGATACACAGGAGGACATGATGGCTGATGGGATAGAGGTGCTCTACTGGAACAGACGGCTCATTGTGCACTGAAAAAAAAAGACCGAATTCAGACGCATTCATTCGCCTTGGATGATTTAACCCTTATGATTATATCATTCACACTGAACGCAAAATTTCATATCATGAAAATTGAGAAAGAAATAGCTTTTTTAAAAATTGGTAGGACTATGTTAGGGTTTGGTAAAATAATCTGTGTTAGCATCAACCCTAAAAAAAAATGTATTGTCGATTTCAACAATTGTTTTCAAAATTAGTTCATTTCATTGAATCATGAGGTCTACATCTAGTAAAGAGGGAATTTCAGACATAAAAGACCAAGATTAACTGGGTGTGTTAACTTTTGACTGGAATTGTATATTCACCAAGAAATTTAGTCAGGATCAACAGAACAGCTTACCAAGAACCTCCAGAATTACTTCCACGTACGTCAGAGGATTAAGAACATTAAGTCTGTATTCAAGGCCTTTAAAAACCATCAGCTCTGATTCCAGGAGGGTCTGTTTGGAAACTCTGAGGCCAAGAGAATGCGGTACCTGCACCGCAGTGGGGGCTTCAATCATCTGCAAAATGGGAAGATCCTTGTCAAGTTTCTATTTTTAATAAGGAATTCCAGAAAACAATCAGCAAGTGACACAAAAACAAACTTACAGGTTGATGTAACAAGTATTTGCTTGCAAGCTGCACGCAAGAGAAAATAATCAGAGGGAGTTTTTCCTTCAGATGAACAAAAACCTCATAGATTGGTGCCTCATTAGCAGTTGCACCTTCAATTGGGATTGTGGCAAGCATATCTGCAATGTGCTTGACCATAAACCTAGGAAAGATCAAAAACATTTTCAATAACATTACATAACAGGTGACAATAAAAAAGAAAGAAACGAAGAAGGAGCTTCCTTTTTTTACCTCTGCAGGAGTTCAACTGCATGGTGAACCACTACTGGATCAAGTTTCAGCTCTTCAGTCATTAAGATGATGTATTCTAGGAAGCAAAATGGTAGCGTAAGAATTTAAAGTCTGCGCTGATTAAGATTTGTGACGTCGATTGGGAAAAAGAACAAGAAATATAATGCAGATTCTTTGAAAGAGATAGAAGTGTTTAATTCAACAGAAAATGAAGGCAACATAAGATGTTGCCAGATGAGAAACGGGGAGGTGATGGCCTAGTGATTAGAGCGGTGTGCTTGTGCTCTGAGAAGGTTAGAAGTACCTGGTTTGATCCCCACAGTCTGCACTCTGGGTTCCTATGCAAGACCCTTTAAAGTCAAAGGGAAGTGGCTATTACAACCGTTGCATTTCCAAATTCTCCCGAGTGATGCCCGACTTTACACGAGTGTCTAAAGTGAATGTGACTGGTTGTTTATCAAGGGAGCAGGATTGTTGTGGCAGAAGGTTTGCAAGCAAGTTTGGTTGTGGCTGGTTTGTCTGAAGCATCTTGCTAACCAGTTAGCAACTTAGTGCTAGTAGGTTCCCAATGGGAAATTCCATTGGGACCAAGTAGCACTAAACTGGTGACTTAGAAACGACACTGTCAAGGAACGCTATGGACAACGGAAACATGCAAGAGGAGGAGAGTTTAGTGTCGGAGGTCGTGGATGAGTCTCCTCCGTCATCCATTTTTTATTTAGAGGAGGAAAGCGGGGACGAAGATGTTGTGGAAGAGGACGCCAGGGCGGCAGAAGCTTGGTTTGGTGTAGAAGGCTTCCAGCCGTACATGTTTGAGCCCTTGCCTCGCAACGCTGCCAGTTCTGTTAGCTCTACGCCTGCCGAAGACACAGACGTCCATCCCCGTGAACACTGGGACGCAACTCAATGGGAAAGGAAAGGATTCTGATTTCTTATTTCAACTGTTGCGTATATTAGCTGCGACATATGAATCAAGATGCTATGACCGAAAAAATTTGATTGACAGATGACCGTTGATATGTGATTGGCTGAATTTATGTGAACAAGCTGACGTATAACTAACTGGCCTGCAGAAGATAACGAAAAACACAGATTTTAAGACAGGATTTTTTCAAACAGAAATTTTCTAACTTTTGGAACAATATAGTCTGATAAAGAATATATTTATATACATGTTTAAGCCAGAATGATTTGACATTTAAATATGATTTTCCTACAACTTTAACCACACACTGCTCCCCAAAGGGATGGGTTAAATGCAGAAATAAATTTCTTCAGTGTCAGATCAAATATTATTGATACTTTTACATATATTTCTTGAGTATTTCTTTAAATAAATTTAAAAAGGAAAAATATCAAGCTTTTTAAACCTTAAATATATTAGAATACAGTTTTTCTATTTGATTTCAGTGTGGGAAATTTCTTGATTGGTACAACTGTATCCATGTTTATTAAAAATATATGTACTTACAATGTAGAATGTAAATATGTTTGTTTTTAATTTGGTACAGAAATTAAAAAAAATGTACCCACCAACGAATCTTTTCCGTTTAAATATTCCACTGTATTTCGTTAAATCATCCAGGTTATCTTTGTTCATTTGGTTTAAATCCACCAGAAAATCATTGAGAAGATCAGAGGTTTCGCGAAACTTAAAGCTTGCTGCTTGATGACGAGACTTACGTTGAAAACTAATAAAACTTTTCGCCATATTGCTTTGAAGAAACTAACCTGTCACGTGAGATTTTCCTGGACAATAACCGTTAAATAATAAATGAACTGTTTAACGACTCACACTACAACAATAACCGCTCGCCTAACAATTATTTTTAACAAAAGATGGCGCTGTTCACGCGGTTTTCTAGATGTCTCGTCCTGGCCAATGGGGGTCGACGTCCGCTCGTGGCGGCCATCTTGCCACAGGCAGCTCGCTCATTCGTAACATTGTGTTTTAAAGGCGCATGTACTTAAATAACCATAACTTCCTCAATTGTCTAACGATTCTCAAACTGTTTGGTTTGTTAAACAAAAGTCAGACATGTAGTTATGAAACTGCACACTTATGAATAATTATAACCATGGAATTTCATATGAAAAGAACATTGAATAGAACATACAGGTGCAATAAATATACACATGCACAAGGTATTTATGTTAAATCAATATATGCTATTAAAACTCAGTGTACTGAATGGCAACATGATATATAGATATATCTATAGATATCTATACATGTATAAATATGTGTATATATATATATAAATATGTATATATATAAATATGTATATATACATATTTATATATATATATATATATATATATAAATATGTATATATATATATATATATATAAATATATATATATATAAATAAACACTTTTATTTGGGTGTGATTAATTATTTCACAGTCCTAATTTATTTATATTTACATACATACTTTTATAATATGAATATTATTGTTATAATAAAATATGAAATACTGACAAAAAAGGCTTATTGTGTGGCAACCTCTTGGTGTAGCAGCATAATCCAGGTTTCAAATTAAAGGTAACACTTTGAAGTTTCATGTAGACTATTCGGATTAATATATTATATCAGGGGTAATTACACAAAAGTTCCTATTTTTAAACCATTATAAAAGTGACATTTATTTGCTATTAAAATTGGTACAATAGTCCCCTTCACAAGTATATATAGATGTAGCATGTTGAAATCCCCAACTACACTACTGTGATGGTATACACATGGAAGACAGAGATTTAAAAAATTACCCAAAAAACATAGCTTGGCTAATGCCCTTTGAAAAGGAAGGTTTTATTGAGCTTCTGTATAATGTACAAGAGAGCGTTGTCCACAAGGCCATCAAAGCGGACAGGAAGGTAGCTGTGGTCATGTACTAGTGCAGGAATGTCAGCAAACGGGGATGGAAGATCTTCTCCTCCTGCTTACACATTATATAACCTGCAGAAACAAAAACAAAAGTGACCAACAACAATTCACGGTGTATAAGATTGGTATATCAATATGTGATTAAATTTCAATGATACACATGCCCTTTGAAGATGAGCTGGAAAGTTGAAAATGTTTGGCACAACACCATCTTTAAGCTGTCCAAAGGAAACTAATACAAACTTATAAAAGCTTTGAGTCAACAACAATCTTGTAATACTATTATGTCATAGCAAAAGTCTGGCATCTTCCTTTTAATAAACCCAGCAAATTCCTGTAACATAATGTAAGATGTGTTGACAAACCAAATCGATTGGAAATCATATTCAATTCTGCCTCTTCCACTGATGTAAAGTTGCTGGTTAACGTTAGCAGCTAGCTAAACTGTAACGTTAGCTGCTAACTTACTAACGTTAGGTCTCACTTTGCAGCTTCTTGTTATTAGCCAGCTAACGTTAGGCTAATAATGAAAATACAACAACACTCAGATTATTGTTATTAGCCAACTAATAACTACAACCACATCCACAAATATTGTAATTTACACCAAAGATTAATTGTCATACAATTGTTATTGGTGTCAGTAAAACCTATATAATTGACTAATAATCTCAGCCTTGATAACTTGCGCAAGTAGCCGTGATGCACAACTATGCTGCGCGATTAAGTCATTTTTCGACAAGAAAATCTGCAATTTCGACATGTTCCAGCATCAAGAATAATAGCCACGTTCATAATGTTTGTAAGAAACCAAACTGTTTGTAAATCCGTCAAGAATTCAGTGAGATAAGAGTATTTGTGTTCGTGCTGATCACTCACCTTACATTAGGTACCACAGAGCACAACAGAAAGCCTGCCTGAGCTAAGATGGCCGCCGGTGATGCCGTTTGAGACTCCGCCGTAAGACATCTAGCCTTTATTATGGATATCTATGGTTTTCTACAGCCGTTTCGAGGAAACAAAGTTTTGCAGCAGTTTCTCTCGCTTTTCGAGCCACACGTCAACGCCTCCGCCATATTGTGAGAGGCAAGACAGCCATGATATTTTGATTAATTGACTTTACTGATCTCACAGTGGAGAAATGTTCTCGTTACATCAGCTCAAATAGCCAAAGAAGAAGAAGAAGGTTCTTAAGGAAGAAAAAGGTGCATATAGTTCAAACAAATGTGTCCAAATCACACAAAATAAAATCCTCTACCACCTTATAATCACGACTGTTAGCTCATAATAATGAGATATTATGCCAAATATCTGACTGAATAATGGGACAGCTATGTGATTATCTCATAATTATGGCTTAACTAGAATATAATATAACTATAATATAATATAATATAATATAATATAATATAATATAATATAATATAATATAATATAATATAATATAATATATTATATTATAATATAATATAATATAATCTATTCCATAATAATAATATCGTTCAAAATAAGACTTGGTTTTTCATAATTATAAAATAATAAACACATAATCTTGAGATACAAGTCGTTTTCTATGGAGGACCAGCTCTACCATATTTAAAAATACAGACAGAAAAAGATAAATGCTCAATAAATACAATGAATTGCCCCCCAAAATACAATAAACAAATAAATGTAGCTAGAAATTAAATTATACAGTGAGACATAAATGTATAAACTCTTTTAATTATCTTCTTTATTTATTCACATTTGTAATAATTAGCTTATGTATTTATTGTCCGTTACAATCTTCAACTTTATTTAATAATTACTTATCTTTTAAGTATTTATTTATATTTGTATGCTTATTTATTTATTGAGCATCTATTTATTTCTGTATTTATTTTTAAATATGGTAGAGCTGGTCCTCCATAGTTTCGGGGTTTCTTTATTAGAGAAATTGTATTCCAAACGGAGTATTGGGTTATTTCTACTCCAATTTTTAGTTAATGCAGTTTTTTTTTCTACAGATTCTGCTTCAGGTAGTCTTAAGTCCCCCTCCCATCCAGTAGGTGGCGAAAATCATCTACGAAAAAATGTTTGACAACCACAATTTTAAATAAGAAGAAAAAAATGAAGATCTGACAACTGTACTCCAGACCACACCAATACGCATTTCCGTTCCACTGCCATATCAGATGGTTTGAAATCGGTGGAAGTAGTTTCACGCCGGATCCTGAAGCTCCAAGGACCGCAGACATGGCTGACAAGAAACCTTCAAAGTCTGATGCTCCGTTCGCCACAAGGATAGACCCAACTAAAGAGAGCCTCTCTCAGGAACAGATGCATTTTATCAGGCAGGTAGAGCTGGAGCAGTGGAAGAGGAGATCATCAAAACTCCGAACGCGGAACGTTGCCACGGGACTTGCTATAGGAGCGCTGGTTCTGGGCATTTGTATCCTTTACGTCAGCTGCAAGGTGAACTACGTAACGTTAGCTTAGCATGCTAATGGTGCTCTAAGTGCAAAATGTGTCAATAATGGCTGATATAACTTATTTATTCATAATTGGTCATATTTATATAAACTGTATGGACTAGTAAATGATTATTATTTGTTAATTTATACATTTTAAAGGCTACTAACCTTGTTTGAAAATGAGCTAACTAACTTTGCAAACAAATGCTTTAGCTAGCTTCTAAAATTCTATTACTAAGTCTGGTGAAAAGCAACGGTTTATGTTTTTATTAACGAGACTAGGGTGTTTTTGTTGAATTTCATCCAGTAGGCATTTAAAAACACATTAAATTTTAATTATAGCGTACCATATATTACTTATAGATGTGCTGTAAAATCCGGAAATTAAATTTAAAAACAAAAACAATACTTCAATGCCAGCTTAGGAGGAGCAGCAACTGGCAGCTATTAGCATGCAGAGACGTTGTGGCGAATATTACGTTTTTAAATCATATGTGGTTGAGCAAAATTATTTTAAAATGTTATATTTATCCAGAACCAAATACATTTTAAGGGAAAGAGTGTTATTTTCCAGATTCTGCTATCAGGAAGGTATTTGTTTTTTTATTTATTTGTGTTTTTTGCAAAATACTTTGTGAAATAAATTACTGGTAAAGTAGAATTTTTCATCTTTATAAATGATTTTATACCGTTAAAGTAAATTAAGATCGACAACAGTAAAAGCACGAGTTAAACATGTTATGATCTTGACATATAAATGATCATACCTTGAAAATTTAAGGGTGTAACTAATAAATGTTTGCTTTCAATGAACCTTCAGCCAGCTGTCCTCCAGTGTGGAGCAACAGGTACAAGAGGGGTTGATGTTTTTTTTTTTTTTGATCATGTCTAAAATAACAATTTGGAAAATGCACATAATCTTTGACATTCTACCAAAGTATTCACACCCCTTAAAGTTTTTAATGTATATGTTTTGAAGTTGTTTATGTACTTTATGGGGAGTTTATTTTGTAAAGCAGAGATACTAAAATATTGGAGGGGAGGGAAAAGTATGCATGGTTTGATAAACTATTTCTTACGAAAAGGATGCCCATACCAAGATACTGCCACTACCATGTTTTACCATTGCAGCTTGATCCCATCACCACGGTAAAAGATAGTGCTGGTACTAACATCTGTAATAGTTTATCTCAAAGTTTCTTGATTCAGAATCAAAAAAAGTCGCCCTGAAAGATAAGGACATTTATAATTTGTAGATCTTTATATGCAAAATTTGTTTAGGAAAATATGTATATCTTTTTCTTTAACCTCACAATTTTTTAACACATAAAATCCCATGGAAAAAAGTTTGACCGGGTTTCCGCAGGTCCTTAAAAAGTCTTAAAAGGCATTGAATTCTTCAAAATAAAACTAAGGCCTTAATTGGTATTAAAATGTCTTAAATCAGTCTTTTGTAGGTCTTAATTTT